TTTACCAAACATCATAAAAAGTTTAAATAAACAGCTGAAATAAGGAATTTACGTATATTAAAATATCAAAGGAAATGTTTTGATGGTTTAATTATATTTAATTATTCCAATGTAATCTATTTATTTTTTGATATTCTCTTAAAATTACCTGCTATTCTATTTTCCACTATTCAACGTTCTGGGAAAATGTCATTTGAGTTGAATTAACATTTTTATATTTATTGGTTTATATTATATTTTGTACGATATTTAATTACATTTATTTTATTTGAGAAAATAAATAAATATATTATTTCTTACCGCTCCAGGCCGTGGGGCAGGGACCGCCCCGGTGTAGCGCCCCCACCTCTGAGACGGCTCCCTGTACTCTTTGTAGGATCCTTCAAAAACCTTCTTCACATCGTTGATCTGGTACTGGCACACCGCCGACACGTCCACGTCACCCCTGAAACATGGCGGCAAGGAAGGGAATTAGTGACGGGTGGCGGGAGAAACGGAAAGATGGATCACCTGTCATCCGCTTGTAGAGAAATTAGACTTCTAGCTTCTGAATGTGGCACAATAACATGAGAGACTATGAGATATAACAACCAGAAAGTAATATCAGTTGCATGTTAAATGCATGAAGTCATTTGCATGTTTACAATAAAAGCTATCGAGGTGAACATCAGCCTGTGTCTTATTGAGTGACTGAAAATGATTAGATCTCTCCACCCTTTCCACGGTGTATCAAGCTGCAAATTGATGTACCTGGAATACATTTCCTTGATAGACCACTGACATTAATCAGCTGTTGCTGTGACGCCGCCACACAGGAATGGCATTTAATTTAACGTTTCATTTTTGGTAAGGTCGCGGTATGGGATCTCAATTTTCTTTCCCAATCCAATTTTGGATCACAAAATGGTTTGGAATTGGTTATTTATGCATGACACATAAAATCATACTTGTACTCCTCATTTCACAAATATATTTCAATGTAATTCGCATCTATTTTTAGACTGAGAGAAGGAGTCACTTCCACTGTAAAATGTGTATGTTGTGATTTGCCCTTTAAAGGGGCCTTATTATGTAAATATGTAGGTTCACAATTGTATTTTGTTCCTCTACTGGGACATGTCTCCATGCTTTAATGTTCAAAAAGCTCTTTATTGTTCTCATACTGCCTGTGCTGCAGCACCTCTTTTCACCCTCTGTCTGAAACCAGAGCCCAGTCTGCTCTGATTGGTTAGCTGGCCGGCTCTGTTGTGATTGGTCACGTGCAATTTGTTGGAGCCCTATAGCCAATAGAAGCGCGAGTGTTACATAGTGCAGTTACTATGATCCGTAAGTAAACAAAGGAGGACATTGGTGGAACTCCTTTGGATGGAACTTCATGATTTTAGCCTTTGCAGACCATTTACATGCACACAAACATAGACAACACACTACAGGAAAAGGAAAACCCCAGAAAGTATAATAGGACCTCTTTAAGGGAAGTGCTATTTCCATCTGGAGCAGAGCGGTTAAGGTGCAGCAGTGCTACAGGCTTTAAAAGGTGAGCGGCTAAACCAAAGGACAGCACTGATGTCTTAGCTTGTTAAGAAGCCCCCTCAGTCAGTCTGATTGTGGCATGAACTCCGAGTCATCATTTACATAATGTCCAATTATCTTAATGTTATCTCCATCAAAGCCATTGGGCTTTAAGGAATCCCGGGCGAGTCACACAGAGGAAAAGGCTTCTTTTTTTTCTGACGGCAGCAGACGGAGCTCTGAATGGAGAAACAAAGCTTGAAGTTCAAAGCGTGTTCACTTGGCGATATGATATCTTATTGAGGAACACAAAAGAGTCACATCAAAGGGCTCTACTCGCAGAACAACTCCAACTTTCCTCCCAAAGCAAACCTCCTGCCCTGCCTCCCACTGCTTTGGTGATAAGTAACTCATTAACACATAACAGTTGTGTAGTGGTCCAGTCTTTAGTCCACTAATAATCCCACAGTCACAAGTTTCTTTTTCATCAGCATTTTAATCTCCAGATTGTACTTTAATGATTGCTTTAAGTAAGTTTCCCTTCAGAATAAAAAGTGGATCTGGTCCTTAATGTTTTATCAAACTTTAAACAGACGACATCAAAAGATTCTCTTAAGAAGAAAAATGTCAGAAAGGTTGATTTGGTCCTAAAGTGAAGTTTTATCAAGCTATAAACTTTTTTTCTGATCCCTATCACAAAATGTTCAAGAGCTGTGATGATATGATGCTAAAATCGGGCTGTTTTCATACACTGTTTGCAGCTATATCCACAAAAAGTGACACACCATAGTTCCTAAATATACTATATATGTTTTTATTTGATGTAATATTTGTAATTGTAAACCAGAGTGACAAAGACCGCATTGGGATGAGATCATTGTGTTTGGGTGGTTTGGAAAACACCAGACTTTCACACATGTGACCAACTTTGATTTAGTTTGTACTTATTATCACCACTTACACCTAAATCCGTGCCTAAAGCCACACGGAGACGATATCAGTTGAATCCGCTAACGTTCTCTATCGTATAGACGGTTCGTCCACATGATTTTTCTGATATCGAATTCGGTTAGTTTTCGTCTCTGTTTCGTCTCCGTGTGGACGGGTCCTAAGTAACGGCTCTTCAATATTTTTTTTACGGGTGTTTACTAAATTGTAACGTAACTTTTGTTCTTTAGTAACGCAACTTCTGTAGCAGATACAAAACCAAATAACAACCTTTTCCGTACGTTTATTAAGACCGAATGTATTGAGCTGAAAATGGACACCTGTTGATGGACATTTAAACGAGATGCATGAGAAACAAGGAATACGTTATTACAAGGTTTCAGAAAAAACCTTGTGTTAGGATCAAATGTTGTAATAGTAAGGTATTAAGTCTAATGTGATTCAACCAATGTGTCAATCATCGGTCTATTGAACTAATTAAATTAGCCTGATTCTATTTAGCAAAAGGGTTCACAAAACATGAAGTCAATGTGACATTAAATCACTAATAAAACCTGTTCAAGCCCACTTGAGCTGTATCCACTCGTAGGGCTATTACACTAAAAGCCCAATTACACAGTAAACACCTTATCCCTAGTGCATAATTAGAGCCATCATATCAGAGTGACTGTTGGCTGACCCAGGATTTAAATAAAAAGCAGAGTATCTGACATGTTAGGAAAGTGATATGTCTCGCTCTGACAGCAAACGGTACATGTAGTAATTAACCGAGGATGAGACTGAAATGGAGCTCTTTCTTCAGCCTGTATTTCTCGGCTCTGACTCACCACTGGGCGTGGAAGATGCCGTAGAAGGTGGTGCCCCTCCAGTCCGGGCCGGGCATTGTGAACACCGCCCTCAGGTTGTTGAAGGAGACGTGACGCTCGGGGAGGGAGCACTCCAGACGGGCTTTCTGGAAGGTGGTCCACTTCTTCTGCAGAGTCCTGGTACCACCCAGGTCCCCCTGAGAGAGTACAGGATCACATCTCATCAACGGCTGAAACAGGTCCTTTAAAAGTCCCCTAATATACTGTTTTACATCAATATATCACAGGTCTCAGATATATACAAAACCTGTCTCTGATTGGCTGGAACACCAAACAGATCATTGCAGCATTACCCATAATCCCCTCTGTTTCAGCCCTGTTTCCAAAGTGCTGATTCTCTGTCTGTTACTGTAGATGAAAATAAGGAGCCCCTCCCCACGCCCCTCTGAGAGAGATTTGGCTACAAAGAACTCAATGGTGCTCTAGGAGGAGATTCAGGTGATAAGGGGTGGGGGGGGGGTTACCTTGGTTGCTGATTGGCTAATGGT